GACAGGGTCCAGGCAGACTCTTGGCAATCCTATCGAACAGGCATACCTGCCCCTGTGGGTTTCTGAGATGTGACTATAACTCTTGTATGGGAGTAGAAAGCCTTGTCTTTCCCCCTTGGAGCGGCTGGTGGTTTTCAACTGCTGCCCTTGCCGTTAGCAGCCCAATATGTAACCACTACACCATCAGGGTTTCTAGAGAAAAGAATCGGTGGACGTATTTATGTTGTGGTAGGGGACACAGCACAGAAAGCCCAGAATTGCTAAAGCATATATTTAAGAGATTTCAGAAATAGAATAATTTATGGCTTCTAAATGGCAAAAATATACCATAAACCAAGTTAAAAATTTTTTAAAGCACACTACAGGTGACAGACAGAAGGGCTTATCTCCTTAATGCTCAAAGAGCATAAACAACCCAGAAAAAAAATGAGGACACGCTATAAATCGACATTTTACAGCGAAATACAAATGGCTTGTAAAAGTCTCAACTTCACTCCCAGTTAGAGAAATGCCGGTGCAGACAGTAAATTGCCCTCTTTGTCTCTCCTATCAGATTAGCAGAGATCAATGCATTTGATAACAGTTGGTGTCAAGGAAGACTTGGGAAAGAAACATTCGCAGACCCTGCTGGTGCAATTTCTACGAGGGTGATTTGGCAATGTCTGTCAAAATCCTTTGACCCAGAATTTAACGGCCAGGATTTTTCATCCGCAGATTTGCATTCAAAAGTGTTGCAATTTAAACAAACAAAACGCGCTCGTGAAATGTGCTTGAAAAGAGCTCTCCTTCTCCGTTTTGGCTTTCCCATCCCTTATCTACCTGCCTGCCTGCATCAAGTCCATGTTGACTCGTCTTGACCTGCTGGGGCAGAGTAGAACTGCCCCTTACAAGTTTGTGAAACTGGAAATCTTTCATGTAAGCGGAAGGTCCCATCTTTCTTCCCAATCCCTGGCTGGTGGGTACAGACTGCTGACCTTACAGTTAGCAGCCCAACTCGTAACCCACTAAGACAGACAGACAGACAGACAGACAGACAGACACTAGCGCTCCTTAATCCCTTACCTAGCTCATTGATTTTCAAACTTCAACATGCAGCAGAATCATTTGGAGGCCCCACCCCCAGAGTTCTGCCACTTGGGTCCGTGGGGGAGGAGGGCACATGTTAGGGTAAACTGGCTAAGGGAGCCAGGGCTGCGGAGAGATGGGGCACAGGAGAGGAGAGGTGTGGGAGGAGAAAGCAAGAGAAAGAGGCAAGGGTTCTCCTCAGGACTGAGAGGTGGGCCGGAGGCTGACCAGAGTCCTTTGCTAAGGGGATAGGACTTTACTCTCTGTTCCCAGTCTCCCCAAAGCCGCCCTTTCCGCCCTCCAAGGAGGAGCGGCTATACAGTAGTATAGCCTACCAGGAGCTCTCTGTGAATTCACAGGCCTGTCCTTTAAATTAAATCAGACCACCAGGGCAAGACAGCCCTGGGCCTCCACCAAGCCTGAAGGGTGGGTGGTGTGGAAGGCCCAGACAGGAGAACTGTATCCTGGGGGCAACTCTATCCCAGCTGAATATATCCTGGGAACTCAGCTGCTTTGATGAACTTGAGGGTTTGTTGTTTTTTTTGCCCTGGCAAGTCCTGTTGTCGCTGTTAGGTGCCGTGGGAATCGTTTCCGGCTCATAGCGACCACTATGTACGACAGAAGGAACCACGGCTGAATCCTGTGCCATCCCCACAAGCCTTGTGATCTTGCAGCCCCATTGTTGCGGCCACTTTGTCAACCCATCTCGCATAGGGTCTTCCTCGTTTCCATGAACCCTCTACTTGATGGAGCACGATGTCCTACTCCACGGATGGCTCTCTCCTGAGAAAAAGATCAGAGTACGTGAGACCAGTCTCGTCATCTTTACCTCCAAGAAGCACCCTGGCTGTACGTCCAAGATAGATTGGTTTGTTCTTCTGGCAGTCCATGGCACTTGGGATATTCTTTGGAATATTCCTGGAACATCGTAATTTAAATGCATCCGTTTTTCTTCGGTCCTCCTTATTCATTGTCCAATTTTCACAGGCCTAGGAGGCGATTGAAAAGATCATGGCTAAAAGACCTGGTCTACCAGCGTGCCTAGCTATCAGACGGCCATTTTTACTCCTTCACAATGTAAAGAGGTCTGAGAAAGGCATTTGCCCAATCCAAGTGTCGTTTGATTTCAAGACCGCTGCTTCCCTGAGCATACTTGTTCATCTAAGCAAAAGGAAACCCTTGATATGAGAACCGCAGCGGAATACAATGTCTATCGACAGACACGTGCTCACCAGTCACTTCCGGCCTATGTGGTCCTATAGGACAGAGTACAAGTGCCCTGGCAGCTTTCAAAGGCTGGCATCTTGACAGAAGCAGGCCGACACGGCTTTCTCTCTTGGAACAACTGGTGGGTTCAAAACAATTGCTTCTCGGTTAACAGCTGGGCAGACAGAGACTAAAATGGTTGAAGCAGGCCCCAACTAAAGCTCACCGGTCAGGATTAGGTGGAAGACTGAAAACAATGGCATCTTCTTCACATCTGGAACTGCTGTCTTGCCCCTTCCTCCTTTTTCCAGTCAAGGTAAAACTCACGGTAAGATGGATGATTCAAGTGTAGCACTTGAACTTTTACACCCCTACCTGTGGCAAGCACAGTTCAGATCAAGACATGTTACCTTCCGGTATCTAGAAGGTAGGTGTTTCAGGGACTCCTTCCCAGCCAGGACTCTCAGATTGTATCTTGGGCCTGTCCAATTTTAAACCTCCCATCAAAGGAATTCATCATTATTCCTCTTTGGGGTCTGGCTTCTTCTATTCAACAAAATGCTTTGGGGATTCATCCAAGTTGTTGTGTGAGAGGAAGAGCTGTTCTTTTTCACTGCCGCGTAATATTCCTCGGTAGACTAAATCCATTTCCATTCACCCAGGGGTAGACATGTGGGTTGTTTCCAGCCTGAGGCTACTATGACTCATGCTGCTGCGGACATCCTCATAAATGTCACCAGGTGGATAAGAACTTGTTTCTCTTTGGGATATGTTTAGGACTTGAATTCACAGGATCATTGAGTTTGCCTACTTAGTTCAAGTGGCACTTCAAAATTATCTTCTGAGCTGATGGTACCAATTTACATCCCTACCAACAATACAGGGAACCCCGGGCTCATAGTGGGTTTCACACTGGGCTGCTAATTGTAAGGTCAGCAGTTTGAATCAGCCAGCCAGTTCTGAGGGAGAAAGATGAGGGCTTTCTACTCCCTTAAAGAGTTACAGTCTGGGAACCCTACAGGGGCAGTCCTTCCCTGTCCTGTACGTTGGCTACAAGTGGGTATCGTCTGGATGGGAGTGAGTTTTTGAGGACAACAATGTACAACAAACTCAATCCTCAATCTTGGGACTGTCAGTCCTTTGGATTTAGCCTTTCTGATAGGGATGCATAGTTAATCTTTAATTTAGAAAAATTAATTTACAACGGTGACAATTTTTTGTTTACCCAGAATGGGTGGCCCACAGATGGAAGGACAGTTCCAAGTATTCCCAGAGGACGTGTAAGTGTGTTTCCTTGCCTATGAGCCTTGGTCACAGATGGACGCTCTAGACTCCACCCTCCTCGCCTTGGAATGGGCCATTCGCTTCTCCACGAACAGGAAGAACTTAGTTGGGATCTCAGAGGGAGAACAACATCTGGGGAACATCTGGTGAGCCCAGCCCAGGCCGGGGGACGCTTTCCTGGGGAAAGCATATCACGTAATCAATCCTTGGAATTCTCCCACCCTTCAGTTACTCTCTCCTGGTCTTCCTGCTCCCCAAGCCCATCACCCCTGGGCTCCCTACTCTGAGCTACCCTCTGACCCCGGGCCTTGCCAATGGTTCTCTCTGGTTGGCCTCACACAGAGCCCAGCAGGGCATATATCCAGACAGCCTGTGAGAGACCCTTGTCCATTCTAGCACCCTGCCCTGCCTAGCTCCCTAAGCAGCAGGCAGTGTCTTTTAGAAACTGAGTCAGGGAGCATTAATGTTGGTCAAACAACTTCATTTTACAGATGAGAAAACTGAAGTGGGGGACAGGGAGAGGAGAGGGGGATCAAACCTAAAACTCTGGAAGTCAAACTAAAAAAACCCTAACACATTGCCTTCCCAGAGCTCACCGTTTCATGGAAACTGTGGCAAACAGACAAGTGAAACACGCAATTGCGTTGTGGCAGCAAGGCAGAAGCCAGGCTAGGGAGTCAGTCAGCAAGCAGCCTTGACCCAGGAGGCTCTGGACACATGCCAAGAACTGGCCCTTGGCAGACTGGGCTGGAGTGCCGTCCATCAAGGAGAAATGTGAGCATAGAGGTGAAGCTTGAAGTCACACGGTGAGAGCGAGAGAACACAGTGGATAAAAACGATGTGCAGTAGTCCCAATGTTTTAAGTACATGTACAACTGAAAAGGCACATGAAAAGGCATTCAAATGAAAGCACGGGGGAAGGAGTGGGGGAGGGAAATAAAAAAGAGGTGGGGCTTCAAATGTGGGCGTGGCCAGATTGCCTAGGCCTGCTAGGCCCCAAGGCAGGGTTGAGACTAGAATCTGAGCCCTGGGAAGTCAATGGAAGTTTGGCTCTGCCTACTAGACTTCTGTCTCCGTAGACCCCCGGGTACACAGACCCCGCAACCAGTAAAGACAAGAGGAGTGCATCTGCCCCCCACATCCATCAGCCTCGTGGAAAAGTGAACGGCGTGCAGACCACACACACACAGCCCAGTGGCTAGAGAGGGGCGCTCGCCCTCATGTCTTCCCTCAGCTGACATCCAGGCGGGACTCCCAGGAGGTTACTCCCACCCCCACCTGGAGGAGGGCAGAAAGGAATCCTAAGGGCTGGGCTATCCACCAACTGGATTCATCTAGCACTGTCCAAGCAGAACCCAGAATGCAGCGGGAGGAGGGCAGGGAGGGCGTGGGGGAGGGTCTGGCTCCTTTGAAGGCTCCCTGGAGGAGGCATCCGAGCAGAGCCCTTACAAGCATTGGGAGAGAGGACACAGAAAGGCTTTCCCGGTGAGAGGAACGGTGAGAGGAACGCTTGTAGCCCAACACTGTGATCAGGGTAAGCTCAGACTTGGTTAAGTTAACCTTGGGGTAAGGAAGAGGTCACGAGGATGGGCCTGGGATCCTGGGCAGGCTGCTGGAGCAGGCTCGCACTGCACCTACGAACAGGATTGGTTCAAGAAGAGACAGTCCTTGCAGGAGCAGAATAAGACAGTGGGCCATTGAAGTGACCAGGGTTTTTTTTTTGTAAGAGAGGATGGGGGCAGGGGAAGTCTGGGTCCTAGGACTCCTGGATTCGGGCCTCGGTGGGAGAAAGGGTCTCTGGCCCATGAGCAGAGATGGAGCCGGGGGGCAAGTCCCTTCCCGCCAGTGTCACACTTCTGTAGGTAAATGTTTGTTTGTTTTTGGTCTTGTAGTGGGATGGGGGAGGGAAAGGGACCGTTTGGATCGGATTGTAGTAAACCGCCTCGGGTGGGTGGGGGTAGGGAGCCTGCTGGAGGCCTTGACGCTGCCACCCTCTTGAGGGGTGGCTTTTGATGGTGCTCTGCGCTGCTCAGGGCCTCAGTCTACCCATCCGTAAACCGGGGCAGTGGGGCCAGGTGAGATCCTTAACGACCTGGCTCTGCCAGCTCTGCTGGTCCGGGACTGGACTGAACC